AAGAGGCGAAGTGTCTTTTTCTTGACTCGAAAGTTTCTCGTCTTCTTCCTCGTCTTTCATCTGAACATCTTGGTCCTTCTTCGCTAAACGCTTCCTCTGCCTGCGTGGCTGGGAGGACGGGGCAGGAGGAGAGAGGTCTGTGGCCAAGGTCAGTCCCAACGACGTGTTCCCTTCTGAAGCACAAACTACCTTGAGTCTTGTTATTTCTGCTGGATTGCCGGCGTGAACTCGATTTCGAGGGTAACTGTTTCTCGGACTCTTCAGGGTATTTTGAAGAGGTACTGAATATGTCAGATCACTGTAGCCAGGAGTGGATTCTCTTGAATCATTTGCGTACCCATTATTAGACATCGCCACCTCGTTCTGCGCTGCTCTTCTCCGAGTCGACCGGGAGACAGGCTGTGCGATTGCTGGCTGAGGCTGGGCCTGCTCGGTCAATTTTTGTCTCTTTCCACGACGGGTCGATGGGGTGCTCGTCTCTTCAGACCGATCGATAGGACTAGATGCTCGGAGAGCCGGGGCCTTTCGCTTTCTCGACGAGGCGGTCGGGCGGTTTGGCGTGGAGATGGCCGTCGACGGGTTTGAGGGAGCGACAGGTGAGGTGGTCGAGGTGCCAGACTCTGCAGCGAGCCTCGCAGATGAACGAGTGACTCTGCGAGACATAAGCAATGGATCTTGTCAAAATATGTCAAGAATGTAATCTGAACAGAGGTCAAGAGAGAAGGACAGTGTAAATGTGCGGGTCATTTAAAATATGTGAGGTTTTAAAGTGGCCGTGGTTTCTTGTTCAACCAAAGTGAGGAGCGAGGCGGAGAATGAGACAGGGATTCCTTTTGAGCCAAGCAGCCGAACGCAGGTGAAGGGGAAAGCAGTGAAAATAGAGGCAAATGAGCAGTACCTGGATGTGCGGGTGCTATTCGAAGAATCTGGATGCAAGGAAGTTACAGAGTTGGTGGTAGTGGTGGTGGTTGCAGTGGAGGCTGCAGTTGCAGGTTGTTGATCAGATGGAACAAGGCCTTGAGCACGTCCGTGGATGAGGTGTGAATTTGAAGGGCGTGCAGGCAGATTTGCCATGTTAACCCGCCATCTGCAGCGACGGGAAGATGCTAACGGTGGCCAGATGGGGAAAAGAACGTACAACGAGATGTGCGAAACGAAATATGAGTCTGATACTATCTTGTGCTATAGTAGAAACAGAGACTGAGTTGGGTAGAATGACCAACACGACGTCGGTCGGTAATGCACACCAACCGCAGCCCGTAGCCCTTAGCCCTTAGCCCGTTGGCGTAAGAGCGCAACACCATGCCCTATTTAGCCACTGGGTGACGGGTGTGTATCAGTTTCGGGGGAAAGGGGGGTTCGCCCCTCCTGCTTATAGGCGTCTCAGAGTATATAAGATATGACGCTCTTCCTCCCATCCAACCTAGCTGAGTGAACCTCAGTGTCCGCCTCCCAGCAGCCTTGGGCCTACGTCCAACAGGGTAGCAGTTTACAGAAGCTGAAGGTGATGCCTTGAACAACCCATCATATAGAGGCGACTCTTGTCATGCATGATCACTCTGGCCAACTGCTCAAGTCCATCTCACAGGAAACTCGCATGACGCCAGATTTAGTCAGGCTCATCCATGCGAGCGAGGCGAATGGGAATGCTCAACAACCAGCATCTTGTCCTACACTGGTTTTGATAGCCTGATGGGTAATTTGATGTGTCGCAGGCAAATTTCCTACCTTGATTCGTCGTCATCTCATAACATCATCGTTGCCCTGCACCGCCTGCCATCATTATGGCAAATATTAATCCTAGATATTGTACTTCTCCTGGTAATCATGATGGTTCTGTGGAAAACAGTATGAAAATCAGATTGTCAAGTGCGGTCCCTTCACGCCCATCTTTTGTCTCTGCTGTGACTACAGTATTTGTATCAACAATTACGCCATCTGCTCGTCAGCTTCTCCATCCTCACTGCCACACTTCATACACCCCACTTCTCACAGCAGAAGTCAACGAACCCTTCTCCAAAGTCCAAAGCCGGCCGCGCACTAGCAAAAACTCTCCATCTGCTTTTACACTACATTGAGGAATTACTCAACCTAGGCCCGGCGGGCTAGGCTGCCAGGCTAGGCTGGCTGGGAAAAGCTGCTCCTCAGGCCGCTCGGAGATCGACCCAGACCCTTCTCCCACTTTGAAAACCAGCTCGTTCTCGCTGCTGGCAAAATCTGCAGCTCGTTCCTTGGGATTATTATTTTCCTCCTCACTTCCTCCACTCCATATAGCCGAAGCCGGACCTCACTGCCCACGCCGCCCCTCCGACAAAACTCTCTACCCGGGCAATGGTGCCCTGAGATGCTGAGTCGCCCTCACATTCCCTTCCTTCCATCCTACTCAATCATAAACAGATCTTTGCGCAGGTATTTGGCTGCATTTCCAAAACCTACGCAAGGCGCAAGAGCCCCGCTATCCGGCTCATCCACCCTCATAGATACGAGTAGTATCCCTCGCTCTGACAAATCACCTCTACCCTCGGCCATCTTCCTGTCTCCTGCGCACTCCCGTCGAGGCTTTCCAAGGACAAAGAACACCTTCGTTCAGACACGGTCGACCGTTCTGCAAACCATCACTGGTGACGGCGACGAGATGGACGAATACCGCTTCCCCGACTCCCGCCTGAAGAAGAAGATGGATGACCCAGAAAAAACACCTCTTCTGCTGGTTGCCTGCGGTTCCTTCTCACCAATTACCTTCCTACACCTGCGTATGTTTGTCATGGCTGCCGACTACGTCAAGCACAACACGGACTACGAGATGATCGGCGGATACCTGTCTCCTGTGTCGGACGCCTACAAGAAGCAGGGCCTTGCTCCAGCGGAACACAGGTATGCAAGCCGAGCTCCGGCGTAACGTACTCTCCATTGCTGACAGATCCTCCTAGAGTCGCCATGTGCCAACTCGCAATTGATAAAGCCTCCAGCTGGCTCATGGTTGACCCGTGGGAAGCTGAAAAGAAGGAATACCAGCCAACGGCAAAGGTCTTGGATCATTTCGACCATGAAATCAACGTCATCCGGAAGGGTATTGACACTGGAAATGGGACCCGGAAACCCGTCAAGATATCGCTCCTCGCTGGGGCCGATCTGATCCAGACCATGTCCACCCCAGGCATTTGGAGCGAGAAGGATCTGGATCACATTCTCGGAAGATATGGCACTTTTATCATTGAAAGATCCGGCACCGACATCGACGAAGCCCTGGCCAGTTTGCAAAACTACCGTGACAATATCCACGTTATCCAGCAACTCATACAGAATGACGTCAGCAGCACAAAGATAAGACTTTTCCTGAGGAGAGGCATGAGCGTACAATACTTGATCCCAGCACCAGTCGTCGAGTATATTGAGCAAAATCATCTGTATAGAGACGATGCTCGTTCGTCGAGCACTACCTCAATTCAACACCCGGACAACGACAAAGGAAAGGCCAAGGAAGTCCCGACGACCAGTTGAACAGCTCACCGCACACTTTTACAAAGTTGTGTGATGTAACCATCTGGCCAAGTTGATCCATCCTCGAAGAGGGTCGATGTAAGGCCAAACCTGACAAACAAGGCAGGTTCTCTCCCGTGTGACAGGGAAAGGCACGACGAGAGGGGACCAAGAGCACCTTTTGCGATGACGATAGTGAGTGTAGCTCACGGGTTGGTGCTGGAATTGTGTTCTGGCATAATGCGAGGTGCTCTACCTGTGTGATGAAAGAGAGGTCAATGCCTGCCTCAGCATCGCATTCATCAACGACGAAACGAGACGTCAAGAGCGCGTGGAGTTGGCACGGTGAGATGATGGCAGATTGAGCGTGTTGGAAAACCGAAAAAAGGCTGGCGCCGGCGTTTATGCAGTGGTTGGATGATTTGCGCCCAGAGTATGGTATCTTTAGAACGGCGATGTGCACAGGTGATGGAGAATGTCGATGTGAGGCCACCTGGATCATTTGAGTTCTGACGGTGGTTGTTTTCCTCTTCTGATAGAGGCCGCAGTGCCGCGATAGAGGAAGTCTTGATCTGACCGAGAGACCAAGTTAGAAAGAGAGAAGAGAGCTATACGTTGTATCATGATACATGTGCACGACTACCTAGCAATTGTCATGTTCTGAGTCATGATCGATCATATCACACATCCACCTAACATCCATCAGTGACATACACTACCGGTACCGACAGCGTCCAGTATCAAGCGCTTTTGACACTCCAATGTTTCCATCATATGTATATGTAAATGTCTATATCTACCCAGCTGTTGGTCCCAGTACTTGCTTAGTACGTGAAACCTCAGCTTTTGACATATACCAGATCCATATATTTGACACATGCATAGATAGGTACATACATGGCAAAGATACCTATGTACCTACCTACCTATCCACGCGTGTCGATACATTTTTCTCTCTGTTCTCGATTTTTAGAAGAGAATGCGAAAGATTATGTACTGCAAGCAAGGAGTCTTCCTCCCCTCCCCTCTTTCCATTGTTTTCACCCGTCGCACCAAGACGCCGGATCTCAGGTTTCAAATAGGGGAAAGCAGAGAAAGAAAAAGTAATATGTATGCGCGGCCCTCCTCCTCCTCCTCCTCCTCCTCCTCCTCCTCCTCCTCCTCATCCGCCTCTCGTCTTCTTGTTGTTCTCCATCTTCCGTTTTCCCGGACCACAAGGGCCCCCCCTCGTCGCCTCCGCGATCCATTCATTCATCCATGCCTCCACAAGGGAAAAAATGGGTTATTTTGTGTGTTTCTCGTCTTGTCTCGTACCATCTCAGCTCGTTTCGTGACCTGCTAAACCCCTTCCAAAAAATTACTCAAGAGGCCATCACTTTTTACTTTTTGAGAGAAGGGGCGGCGGCGGCGGCGGCGGCGTGACCACCCATGTCAGGCCAGGCCATGCATGCTATTCCTTGACGTGCACTCCCACTTCCACTCCTAGACCCGCGCCCTGTCATATCCTATTCTACTCCTTTCTAATTCCAAGCTGCCCCCGCCGCAAGACCGTTGTCGGTCCCAACCCTCCCAGCTTCCTGATTGGGCCCGACGCCCGGCCTGTTCTGGGCCCAATCCCTCAGCTGTGTCCTATCCTTGCCCGTGTACTTGATCAGGTCTTCGTCAGTGTATTCCGACGGGCGCCGCGAGGACTGGAAGGACTGGAACTTTTGGCTGAACCACCCCTTCTTGGGTTCGCCCGTGTCATCGCCATCGTCGTGGATGTCTGGGTTGCCGTTGGCGTACGAGGCCGTGGACATGTTGCGACCGTAGCCATCGTATTGTTGTTGTTGCTGATCGTCGCCGTCGTCGTGGTCGTTATCATTAGCATTATTGGGATTGGGATTGTACCCTTCGGCCTGCGAGTAGCGCGGTCCTCCTCCTCCCCTCTGGCCGTCTTGATAGTTGGGGTTTGCAGGGTCGTTGGCGGTAGCGAATGCGTTTTTGGCCATGTCAGACGTCGGGTCCCCTCCTCCGTCCTGCATGCCGCCGCCGTTGGCGTACGACTGTTGCCTCTGTTGTCGCTGATAGTCCTGGTTATCCCAGTCACCACCGTCCATGGTCTGGTACGGTCTCAGATCTCCATCGTTGTTGTTGTTGTTGTTCCGATCCGCGGGCCCGCTGCCGGACATGGTCCTGTCGTTCCCACCGTGGTGGCCCGTCAACACACCCGAGTTCTCTCCCGGGCGATCAGGGCGGGTGTCGTATTGATATTCCTGCTGCCACTGCTCCCAGGCGACCGTGTTCTGTTCGGTCGCGCCAATGTCGCGACTCTCCTCCCTCATCCGCGGAGGAGGTTGCTCGTGTGGCGCATACTCCGTCATGCGCCGCTGACGGGCGTTTTGATCATAATCGACGTCGGAGAAGTTGGTCCCGATCTTTTTGATCTGCTGTGCTGATGTCACCGTCGTAGGCTGGCTGTTGAGGTTGGGTATGTCGGATCCCTTCAAACTTGACGATCCGCAGCCCATTGTGTAGTTTGTGTGTAAAGAAAAAGCCAAAGAGAGTATAGTATTGTCGTGTCGCTGGTTGACCGGATTCGAGCGGAAGCTGGGGTTTTGTATCACCAAGGTATGGGCCGGTTGTTGATGATAATATCAAGGTCTCTTTCTCGGGATTGAGATGGTAGAACAAGCCTATCCCCGACGGCGCAATGATGCGGCAGCGGGCGAAAGAGATGAGTGAGTGCGGGTGTGCGGGAGGGTGCGTTTGTTGCCTTGGTTGGTGGGCGAGTGAGTGGTGATGATGTAGTTTACGTCTGGATGGAGGTACGAGGTAGCATTCGTAGTAGCAGTTCGCTATCCCTAGTCCTTTTGAAGATCAGTTGGGGTATTTCTTGCCGTCTTGTCGTTTTCTTCTTCGCGCGTGTGCGCGCTCTCTCTCTCTCTCTCTCTCTGTCTCTCTCTCTGACTCTCTATATTGTCTGTCGAGCTCAGAGATGGTTTCCGCAGCGAACAAATCCTTGCATTCTTAAACAGAACTCCCTACGGTGATGGCCGCGCTACGAGTAATGCGTTCACTAGGTGAAGGATCTGCTTGGTATAGGCGCACTAGACCAGTCCAAAGATCCAAGAATAGGTCTCAGTCTCACGTCAAGGTGGGAGGGGGTGCACAGCCAGCCTCGGTCGATAGCCGCAGGTTTGCGGGCCAATGCTGATGTGTACGGGTGTTGTACCTCGTACATAGAGCGCATAATACACCCAGTATGATTGTGGGACAGTGGCGATATGTCTCCCCGGTCATTGGCCTGCTAAGTCACACAGGCGTAACAGGGTCACCCAAGGGTCGTAATTGTTACAAGGCCCGCGAAAGCCCCAGCGATCAGCTGCTGGAGCCAAAAAGTAAATTAATAGATACGCGGGATTGTGGGGTGACAAGGCCCGCCCCAACCGAGGTAACCAAGATGGGAACTTGTATAAAGTACCGCGTATATATGTACTAACATTCCTCTTGATCATGGGTGGTGATCTTGTGCGGGAGGAATGGTGGACCGTAAGTGCGGGAGGCGCATTAGATTTTGGTGCCTTTTCGAGGGATTGGTATCTTGTTAAATTGACCAGGCCAGAGAAGCCTTTGACCAACAGTAATGTTATCCACATATTGGGAGTCGAGATAAAAGTACATGGTGATGGTAAATATGTGCATGGTTCATTCAGTGTGTCTGTTCTCGACCGAGCAGCACTTCCTGTGTGAAATACTTGCCTGTAGAGAAAGAAACATGGTCTCCTCAGTTGCTGCGATTGTTTCCATGTTGTGCGACTTTGGGGATCGGTGGTCTGTCTGATAGTTCGTAGACAACCGAGACAGAAGCACAGACAGAACTGCAGAGGCTGCTTCGCCTGTCGTGTTATCGCTTTGAAAGTGGTTCGTCAATCCATGGCAACCGCCAAGTCGACGTTGTGTTTCCCTGGGCTTGGGCTGACAACTGGAAGGATCAGTCAACCAGGAACCCGAGCACCCTTCTTGACATCCGCCTCTTCTTGAGGTAGGCATTGCTGTATTGTGCTGCCGCTATGTTGACACAAATTCTCAGGAGGATGCGCGCAATAGCTGCGATGTCGCCGTCTGAATGGCCGGTGACAAGTAGAACCAGTTTACAATGGTTTCACGCCTCGATGAATGCTGGCAATACCTCCCGTCAGGTCTTCATAGCCTTTCCCCGGTGTGACGAAGCCGGCCTCTTCGATCATCGACTTAAACTCCTCCTGTGTGGGGAATCGCTCGATGCTTTCAACCAGGTACTGATAACTGTCCCGATCACCAGCCACCAACTGACCAATCAAAGGTATAGCGCCAAAACTCCATCTCTTGTAGACGGTATTGAACAGTGAGTTGTTAACATGGCTGAACTCTAGACACGCAAAAACTCCGCCTGGTTTGAGGACTCGAAATGCTTCGCGAATGGCAGCGTCTTTATTGGTGAAATTGCGGATCCCAAAGGCAACCGTGTAAAGATCAATGGAATTCGACTCGATCGAAGGCATGGATTCGGCGTTCCCCTCCATGAATGATAGTCGCCCTGAAGTCCAATACGGTGTTTCCTGGGCTCTTTTCTGTCCTTCAGCCAGCATGTCTGCATTGATGTCCGCGATGGTGACTTTTGTTTTAACATCGAGATTCACATTGGTAGCGTGGTCAAGCATGCGGAATGCAATGTCGCCAGTGCCTCCTGCCACATCAAGAATATTCCAGCCCTTTTCGCTGGTTCGGCTGCCCGGGTTGAGGCTGCGGACGAAATAGTCCTTCCAGAGGCGGTGGATGCCCAATGACATAAGGTCGTTCATGGTATCATATGAAGACGCGACGGATGAGAAAACAGCACCCACTAACAAGGTGTAAGCATGTAGTCCAATATAACCTGTATTTAGACGCTACCTCTTGCCTCCTTTTGCGTCTCTGAGACGGTCTCAAAGCCGAAGTGAGTTGTGCGTTCATTTTCACTGGGGAGTTGCTGGCGTCGTAGCGAACTCGTAGTAAGGAATCGTTGCGGCGACGTCGAACCGACACAGCAGCTTCGTAGGCCCTGAGGCCTTCGGTAGAGCGGGCGAAGCATTTGTTCCAGCTCAAATATAATCTGCGCTGGGCAACTTCAATCTCCAGAGCGAATCGCAGCTAAGACCAATTTTCGTGAATCTGAATTCCCAAAACAGTCTAGTTCGCACGGGCCCGAAACAGCCTCAACTTCCTCCGACTCCGGCATCTCCTTGCTCCAGCACTGACCGAGGATAACCGAAGTCCCTATTCCACCTTTTCGACGCTTCCTCGTCGTCCTTGTCGCGACTTTTCCTTCTCTTCTTAATCTACCCTCATAGCATCAAACATCTCTTCCATTGTCTAGGGTGGCCTCGTTGCTTTTGACAAGTGAAGATGAAAAGTCGAGCTGTTCTGAGGCCCTTGGCGGCATCCTGCAGATACAAACATGGGGTACTGCTGAGGAGATCAGGGATACGATGGGCAAGCGATACCTGGTCTGCCGGCCCTGCACAGAAAGCAGGATCGGATTCGTACGTTTCTCCGTCCGCGGTTGTTGTCCCCGGTCTCGTTTGCTGATTCCGTGGCCCCAGAGTGCATTTCCCAGGAGCTCTCAAGAGTAAATTTACCTCGACCATGCGGTTTCAGAATCCAGCCGAGGAGAACGCGATGCCAACTTACAGGATAATGGATGCAGACGGTAATATTGTGGACACCACCAGAGATCCACAATCTGCATCTGACGACGAAATCATTCAGTGGTATCGCACTATGTTGACCGTCAGCATTATGGATTTGATCGCGTTTGAAGCACAACGGCAAGGACGATTCAGCTTTTATATGGTCTCTGCCGGTGAAGAAGGTATTGCGGTAGGATCAGCCTCGGCACTAACACCAGAGGATGTTTGTTTTCTGCAGTATCGCGAGCAAGGGGTGCTCTTGCACCGAGGCTTCACACTGAAGGAGATGATGAGCCAATTGTTTTCAAACAAAGACGATAACGGCAAAGGACGAAATATGCCTGTCCATTATGGCAGTGGAAAGCACAACGTTCATACAATTTCGAGCCCTTTAGCGACCCAGATTCCTCAGGCGGCTGGGGCCGCATATGCGTTGAAAATGCAGCGGCTCCTTAATCCGAATGTGCCCCCAAGGATCGTCGCTTGTTACTTTGGAGAGGGCGCGGCAAGTGAAGGGGATTTCCACGCTGCCCTCAATATCGCCGCCACAAAGTCTTGTCCCATTGTATTTGTCTGTCGCAACAATGGCTTTGCTATTTCAACGGCGAGCATTGAACAGTACAAGGGAGATGGCATCGCTAGTCGAGGATTAGGGTACGGTATCGATACCATCCGGGTGGATGGCAACGATATCTTTGCCGTGAGGGCGGTCATGCTGGAAGCCAGGAAACGCGCCCTTGAAGGCGATTGCAAACCCATCCTAGTCGAAGCTATGAGTTACCGAGTGAGTCATCACAGCACTAGCGACGACAGTTTCGCCTATCGAGCCAAAAGAGAGGTAGAGGAGTGGAAACGAAGAGACAACCCCATTACACGGCTCCGCAAGTGGATGGAAAAGAAGGGTATCTGGGACGAGGACAAAGAAAAGGAAGCGAGGGCGTCAATACGCAAAGAAGTCTTGCGAGAGTTTTCAGCTGCAGAAAAAGTCAAGAAACCACCGGTCCGAGCGATGTTCGAGGATGTCTACGAGGAACTCACTCCAGAGACTCGAGCCCACATGAAAGAACTGAAACGAATAATCGAAAAGTATCCAAAGGAGTATAGCGGCATTTCCGAGTATGAAGGAGGACTCAAGAGTCTGGAGGAATGAGTCCAGATCGGTTGAGGGCTAAGTCAACGCCACCAGGATACCCGATGGATGAGCCGTGGGCCGGCCCTCGAAGCATCACCACTATGTCACTCCAATCAAAGCAGACTTAACAAACCACGGGTTATTCGTGCTGGACCCATGATAATGGGACACGTTATGGACAACGAGGCTGAGGGTAGAGGAAGCGGAGAGGCAGCGAGTGACACGTGCACGACACCGCCGATTGGGAGGCTGGGGACGCCATAGTGGACACTTGGCGCCACTGTGGCTTGATAATTGCCAAGCCGGGAATATTGAACGGCTTCCAGCCACCCACGTTCCGGCCGCCGCTGCAGGGTCCAACATTCGACGCTATTCCTGATAAGGCTAAGACCGTTTTCGTCAGCCTCGAGCTGGGCTTCCAGCCTCCCTCAATCTCTCCAATCCCATTGTCCATCTTGTTGTTTTCTGTGAATAGAAGTCTCTCACTGTGGTGATGGCCAATAATCAGATATCCCGCTAGCTGAAATGGTCGAAAATGTTTCCCGGCTACCGCTTTGGCGTCAGGAGATTGTGGTGCTGTCCATGAGAGCTGACGTCGTTGTCTACCAGCCTCCTCGCCGGGGAAACCATCAGTGACTACTTTTTGTTCCCATGGCCATGGATCCTTTTTCTACTGTGACAATCTCAGTATCCTCTTCTTTACTTGTTCAGTGAATATACGCTCGTGCGCCTTATTGTGTATTACTGTCATGCCATCAACTTGAGTTTGCTTGATCCTCCCAGCAATTTTCCGGTTGCTCAGTTTTTGCTGCATTGTTCCGGCGTTCGATATTTTTACACTGTACAAAATGTATTCCACTCTGGCGGGCTCAGTCCTCGCCGTGTTGACCCTTTGCTCCCTTGTACCACGCACAGAAGCACAGACGTACTCGTCATGTAATCCTCTTCTACAAAGTGAGTCTATTTCTCTACCTCGGCTTTTGGAATCGAAGACTGACTGCGCTCAGGTGGATGTCCTGCAGACCCTGCTCTCGGCAGGACTGTCGACATTGATTTCACAGCAGGCTCCTCGAGCGAATTCGGCGCCTCAGGAGCAGTAAGCTACACCTCCGACGGCGCAGCATTCACGATCTCCCAGCACGGCGATGCTCCTACCCTCTCTTCGAATTGGTACATAATGTTCGGCCACGTCGATTATGTGGTGAAAGCGGCTCCAGGAACGGGAATAGTGAGCGCCGCTATTCTGCAGTCTGATTGCCTTGACGAGATCGACTGGGAATGGATAGGTGGGGATAATACACAAGCCCAGAGCAATTACTTTGGGAAGGGCATCACAACAACTGGCTACAACCGAGGAGCATTTCATGGAGCACCCAACAACCATGACGAGTTTCACACCTACAGCATCGACTGGACTGCCGACCAGATTGTTTGGTCGATCGATGGCACCACAGTTCGAGTCATGACCCAAGACCAAGCAGAAGCCGGCCAATATCCCCAGACTCCAATGTACGTCAAGTTAGGTACTTGGGCTGGTGGTGATTCATCCAACCCTGAAGGCACAATTCAGTGGGCCGGGGGCGTTACCGACTACTCCGCGGGGCCCTTCACCATGTATGTGAAGTCTGTCCATGTCACGGACTACTCGACAGGGTCACAATACACCTACAGTGGTACCAGCGGTACCTGGCAATCCATCAGTTCGACTGGCGGCCAAATCAACAGTGAAGGTGACGGTACTCCAGCTGCGACTGGAACAGCACCTGCAGTCACTTCCTCCGTGCCCAATGATGCGCCACTTGCTTTTGGAAACAGCGGTGACACCTCTTCAGTGTATGCTACGCGAACAGGCTGGCCGTGGTCTGGAACGGCCACAGCCACAGCAGTGTCTGTGGTAAGCTCTTCAATTTCTGGGCTGACAAGTCAGTGGATTCCTATCTTGTATCAGCTCGAACTCTAGTGCGCATGTGCTAACTGTTTACTAGTCGACATCTCCCTCCCTATATTCGTCTCCATCGGTAGTATCATCTTCGGCCTCGGCCTCGGCTTCGCTTGAGGTTGTGACTTCTTATGACGGACAAGGCTTTCCTACAATCATTACCATCAACCCTGCGGCGCCAACAATACCAACAAGTTACGACAGTCAGGGCTTTCCAATTACCAACACCAGCCTCATTTCTGAGCCAACCTCTCAGCCTGCGACAGTACAAGGATCGTCAATCACAGCCGCATCAGGCTCCGCATTGGTGAGCTCAGTATCTTCGAATTCGGCCTCAGCACCATCCGAAGGCCCGAGCTCCGCAGCTTCAGCTCCACAGAGCTCCAGCGCTACAGCATCGGAAGCCTCTGCGACCGCAAACACGTCGTTCATGACAATTTCTACCTCAACACCCCTCGGTTTCATCCCCACTTCGGGTTCGAGCTCTGTGTCCGCCCCCATCTCTGCCACGGCGTCAAAAACCGTTATTTCCGGCGAAACGGGGTCAATAACCACATCATTGTCCAGCTCTCCATCCAACCCAAGCAGCAGCTCGTCTTTTATTAGCCTGATCACTTCCCAATCGCAGACCACCCTGTCAAGCTCTGGGGTTGTTGTTGGGAGCTCAACTGCAAGTAGCACGATCGCCGCAACTAACTCCGACAGCAGATCAGCGTTAGGCTCGGGTTCGTCTACAGCGTCACTTTCTTCGACACTTCGGTCGTCCTCGCTCTCAAGCAGCGAGATCAGGAGCAGCAGGACCGGTACGATCAGCTCACACCAAAGTACATCCACGACAGCATCAAGTCAAGTGTTGAGTGGAACAGCAACGATTTCAGCATCCGCTACAACATCAGGCACGCCGCCTGCAGTGAATCTTGCAGGTCGAATACGGAGTTTTCATCCACTCGGAGGGGTTATGGTGCTAGGGGCAGGGGCCTTATGCTTGTTTTGAAGCAAAAGCTTGGAGGGGCGTCAACTAATTATTGACGTGGGCGGCATTTGTCAGCCTACCAGGGTTTTGTAATGGAGGGTGGCGTTGGAAGGTTTCCAGAAGGCCTTTCAGGGGTCTGGCGCAAAATGCACGAGGCTGCAGCAGCTTAGGGATAAGGTAACTTGGTATTGGTGGCGCATCAGACGTTGATGAGAAATGATAGTGATACCCAGATAGAAGGATAGATAGAATTGGCCTCGTCCGCCCCTCGGACTGGTTTTTGGCTCCGATGAAAAATACAATGCAATAGGAACCCGACATTGCGCGATCCACGGAAACTCTACTTCCTGACTGGGCTGTTTATTGTCATGCGCTTGGTTGCTCTTTTGATCTAGATTATCGCCTCGAGACGAGGACCGAGAACAGAGGCGGCCCTCGTCAATCGTTATCTGAACCACGAGCAGCATTCGACAGACAAACCGCTCATTTCCGTCTCTGAAATAGGAAACACAGAAGTCATGGAAGGCGGCGGCTGACCATCGGTATCTCTCCCTTGTTCCCCCCTCGCAAAAAGCCTATCCCTGAGCCTAACGAGGTGGAGGCTTTCCATACTCCGTGGAAAGGCTGGCTCCCCTGCCTTGCCTGCCCACCAGCACCCACCACAAAAACGTATTCGTACGTCACAAAATCAACCATCCGCACAAACTTGTGTAAATTTCTCCACTAAACTTTTCCCTCTGTTCCTGGTCATTTCTCTGTAGTTACACCACCGGATCCAGCCCGCCACTGGCCGAGCGAGCGAGCATTTCGCTACTCTGCATGCCTCCATCCTTAAAACCTGCAACCATCCCACTCCCTCACCACTCTAACAACTCCAGGGTTTCGATACGCACAAACCCACCTCCTCTGCCTGACTCTCCCTTTCCTCATCTTCCTCGTCTTCCTACCCCTCCTCCTCCACCTCCTACCGTACCGCCATGGCGACAGTGGCCCCCACCGACATCTCACAGACCCATCCCTACACCTGCAATTCGTGTGCGGTCGCCTTCCGCAACAGTGATGCCCAACGGACTCATATGCGGAGTGACTGGCACAGATACAACCTGAAGCGCAGGCTGGCTGAGTTACCCGCAGTATCGTCTGAAGATTACAACGAGAAAGTTTTGGCTGCTCAGGCTACCAACAACGCAGCCGCCGCCCAAGCAGCCTATGCAAAAGTGTGTGCCACCTGCCAAAAGACGTACTACAGTGAAAATGCATACCAGAACCACCTGTCAAGCAAAGCACACAGGACAAGAGAGAGTAGAGGCTCAACACGAGACGCAAGTTCTATGACTGGGTCTGACGGCCGGCGGTCATTCTCCGCGCTGGAGTCCATACCAGACTCTGAATCTCGAGATCCAACAGCAGAGGCAGAGTTCGAGCAGGTTGTTGCAGGGATAAAAGAGACCTCCATCCAAGACATGCCTGAAATCACACGGAGACCCTCGAACCCTCAGCCGGGGACGGAACCGCGAGGGGACCATCCCATGTCACCAGAAAAGGCCGAAGTTCCGTCTATGCCTATTTCAAGGTGTCTGTTCTGCAACTATGACTCCCCCAATCTGAAACTCAGCGTCATGCACATGACCAAGATCCACGGGCTCTTCATTCCCGAACAGAACTTTCTCGTCGACCTGGAAGGTCTGATCCGGTATATGCAAGCGAAGGTTCACCAAAATTTCGAGTGCCTATACTGCCACAAACTGAGAGGAAATGCAGAAGGTGTGCAGACACACATGAGGGACAAGGCTCATTGCAAGATTGCCTTTGAGACGGAGGAAGAATTGATCGAGGTGGGCCAGTTCTATGACTTTTCCAGCACCTATTCAGACGACGGCGAAGAGGATTTTGGCGGAGCAATGGAAGGAGTCAAGGCGGGACAGAACGGTGGCGTCAAATTGGAGGGTTCAGGAGAAGACGGTGCAGACGACGGCTGGGAAACTGATTCTTCCTTTTCCTCGCTCGATACCAACGAACTTGCCTCTGTCCCGAATGATGATCGAACACTGTCCTATCAACGACTTCCCTTGCACAGACATCACTCCAACACTGACCCGAGACCGCACCGGAACGCAGACGGCTGGCACTCACACGCACACAACCATACTAATGCAGTGTTCTATGACGAACATGAAATGCATCTGCCCAGTGGCAGAGTGGCAGGCCACCGAAGCTTGAGGAAATATTACCGCCAAAATCTGCACAACTATCCTACGGCCGCTGAGCGAATGGAGCGTGCTCAGAGATTAATTGAAGAAGGGAGCTCAGAAGATGCAGACATGGACGAGGTCGATCTTCCAGCCACGCCTCCGCGAAATAGTCTCATGAGACGGGGAGAGGCTGGTATGCTTGGTGCTACGAGCCAGCAGAGACGAGACGTCCGCTCTGAAGAGATCAGAGCCAGACAGAGAGAGAGGCGGGCGCAGAATCGGTATCAGGCCAAGCTGGAGAAGCAGGCCAACAGTCAAAAGCACTACAGGGTAAGTGTTGGAGAGATTGTGCGCTTTGACCACGGGAACGCTGACAGGTTTCCAGGATCCACTCTTGCAGTGATCAATGAATCATATCCCGTCGATGCCGACCGATCCGAGTGCGGCCGAAGAGCTTTCTAACCTACCAGCACCTCTTCTGACGAGCTGTGAATAGCATTCCTTATGTTGCATATCATGCATATCGCGGGTTATAAAAAGCTGGGTCGGGAAACAAGGAAAATGACACGACGCGACGAGACACGATGGCCTAAAATCCGGAGGTTTCTGCATCTGTGACTTGCATTGCAGGATTCACGTTGTCCTCGACAGAGAGGACGAACCTGGCGCTACCTTGAATTCTGCCTGATATCCATAGCGAACGGACGCATTACAGTCGTTGCTGCGGAGCAGCCATATCATCTGACCTTTAATGGTACTTGGGCATGCTTGATGTTGTAGATGCATCACAATAGAATGTCTGGCTGCATGGGTTTCTTGATGGCGAGCCTCGTCAGCAAAGCATACACTCTTCGCAGTCTCTATCAATGATTCGTAGTACTTTGTCAACGGAAGCGTGGCAACCAAGGCTCATGTACATGTACAAGCAATACGAGGCACATGACGAGTAAGTAGCGACATGGGCACTTTCAACACACTCCACCGGAGACATGAGCGCAGAGACGACACAACACGGTGGACTGAAGGGCAATTTATGCAGGCTTGGCGGCTACTTGCTCGATTGGTACCTCAAAGATCCCATTCTCGGAGCTCCCCAGATTATTTGCTGTCGATTGTACCTTGATCACTTGGTCACTTTACCTGACCGCGTTGCCAATTCGTCTCGTCTCATTCACTCGCTCACTCGTAGTGTTCCCTATCAATTCGAATCTCTCGGACCTCTTGTTCAATCAATCCCTCTAGACGCAGCATTCTCCTCCTCGCGCAATGGCCAAAAAAGGTACGTTTTGACTCTCTCTCAATGCAGTCCCTGGCGGTTATTTCTTTTCTTTTTTTTTTTGTTGTCTCCCCCAACCAGTCAACCAGCCCTCCTCCCTCGCTCTACAGTCCTTCACTGAAAACTAACACTCCGTGATTCCCGTTTGAACAGCCAAATCCCGCACGATCGCCGTCCGACTAATCTCCATGGCCCTGACAGGGTATTACCGTACGATGGTGCGGCCGCGCACGTCGAGGCCGCTGAGCATGATGAAGTACGACCCTGTGGTCAAGCGGCAGGTGCTGTTTCTGGAGCAGAAGCGCGGGAAGTAAAAACAGTCTTAGAAGATTCAGGATACTTTGCTATTTGAATGGGGAAAGATATGGCTATGGGATGATATGATTGGGAGGATGGAGAGGGGGGGACCGAAAAAGTGGAAGAGGAGGGAAGAAGTTTGAGATGTAATGTGTCGGGCAACACTTGAGGGTCGCAGTATCCCCCTTGCTTGGCTCCGCTGGGCCGTGGCGTCAATTTTCAATCTGGCCTGGGTGGGAAAAGAGGCTGTTTAGATGAACTGAGACCCCAAACGAGAACGATAGGGGGAGCGGGGATTTCCAAGGGAAACAAGACTGGGTTCGGAGAATGAGGACCGGTCTGTTCCATTGAGCTGTGGCCAAAGTGCTGCGGAAGGGGAAACACATTCAAGCTCTGGAACCTGGGATGATGAGCATGATAGCTCCAGTGGGTGCTCATCCTCGAGACACCAATCGTTGCTGGCAGCGCATCTCCAAGCTCAAGATGGGCGACGAGGGGCGAGGTCTTACCCCGACAAGGGCTGAAGAACTGGAATCCCGACAGCACGGCACATGGCAGTCTCAACATCAGCTCCCACAGCCTCTCTAATCTCGCCTGCATCCACTCGAACAACGCTGGCTCTGATCATCTGGCCGAAACCCAAACCCCGGATCAACAAAGCCAAAACACAGGCTCTCGCTCGCGCTCTCGCACTCCCACTCCACTGATCTCCGCTCTCCGCCGACCATGTGAAACCCACCAGCTCAAATCGAGGCCAAGCCGACCGGAGCACATCTTGCTCAGCATCAGTCATCATCACATCCAGACAGACGGACAAGCAGCATGATACAAGGAAGGCATTGAGGGATGTCGTTGGAAAAGCCGAATCGAACCGAAGCGACCAGCTAAGAGACCAACCACCTTCAGCGTGTCGGTATGGACTTGTATGTCTCTGTGTGGACTCGCAGCACGCAGCACGCAGCACGCAGTTCAAACGTCTCGTGGCATTGGTCATCCAGCTGAGCCGAGCTGAGCCGAGCTAAGCCGCGGTGTACCAAGTATGAGGTTTGTTTTTGTTTTTTTTTTTTTTTAAGAGCAAACGGCCAGATTGAGAATTAGGGAAGAGAAGTAAGGGAACGAAGAGGCGGTACCGGAACGACCAGGCACAAGTCAAGTCACAAAGTCTGCTCTCGCCTCGCCTCGTATCTCATGTCATACAATAGGATTGCGATGGAAATGCTAGCTGTCTCTTGATATCTAGCCACGTTCTGATGCGTCCATTGTCCACTGTTACCGTCCACTGGTCACTCTGTAGGTATCATGGCGATAGACGGCTTGCTGCGTACCAAGTACAGATGGATAGATAGATAGACCTGTTCTAATACAAATTATATCTCTTGACTTGCCATGTCTGCTTGTATATACATACAGTACGAGGTACATATATAGCCCTAATTACATCCATGTCTAAGCTACTAAGCTACAGTAGCACACATAGTCCGACACAGAAAGACCTCCACGTACATCATACCATGATTCTCTCTGACCATCTCTGCAAGCTCCTCGAAAATCCCGCTACATGATCCTCCCGTCCCCAGGCCGCGAGATCGAGGAAACAATGGTGGTCGCGTCCATACAAAATCGCTGGTGTATATCCCACTTGATGTCTCTCTTTTTTTGGGGTCTTTGTTTTCTCCCATTCTTTCTTGCAAAATATGGTCGCCCAGACTCTCTTTTATCATCCTGTTTCTTTTTCGGTAACTTGGCTCTCTGTCCCTTAGAAACTCCCACGTCCTTCCCTGTTGACGACTTCGTTTCGCATCAAGTCTCAGTGCCGAACCGCGTGGCGTACTTGTCTTGCCGAGAACCTTTTCGAGCAGGTCTATTCGATCCCTTACTCTTACCAGGGCCCGGAGCATTCGTTCCCACGATGCTGCTGCAATTGCTACCACCACCGCTGCTCTTGCGGAAACTGACGGCACCTCGGGATGAAGACTTTTCCACTCTCTGCTTCGGGGTGGTGGGCTGTAACTTCCCCGCCTCGAGGTTGGCAGCTGTTCGCTTGAGACGCTTGGGGTGCTCTGTAGGAGTTTTGACCTCATCATTCTCGGGCTCTACTCGACGTTTGGCCGCCGAATTGGGTCGATGTCTCTCACGCTCACGTGTGATGACAGGTGTAGATGCTCGACTGCCTCGAAACTCGACGCTAGGGCCAGGAGAAGCAGTGGACCGATGACTGTAACCTCGAAGTTCGCTTCTCAATCTCCTGGGACTCGGTCCTTGCTTCACCATTACCCTATTTCCAGGCATGGCAAAGGTCGGTTGCATCTGAACGGTGTCGATACTGCCGGGACCTTCAGACCCACGTTCGCTGACTTGATCTAGAAGCATTTGTTCACTCAGCGACCCGTATGAGCTGGACGGGGGCCGCTCAGCAGTCTCCTCGTGGCGGTTGATCCCGCTACGTCCCCTCGGCCCGACTTGCGTTTCACCACGGTTGTACTGCCTCATACTGGGATCAAAGCCTTGGTTAACCACGTCGTCGAGATCAGCCTCCCCGTGATCACTCGGAACTGGAGTAAGGCCTGAGGCACTATCTTCCTGGCCCTGGCTTGCAGATAGTATAAGGCTATCTGAATTCACTTGTAGGGACTGTTGGACTTCAAGCTGTGTCTCGGGTATAATTTGTATGGCAGCAATTACTGAATCCGACTGACTCAAGGGCAAAGCACTGTTGCCAACGAGATATTGAACATTGCCTCCATTGGAACTCGGATGTGTGTGGAGTGATTGGTTGTGATGGGAGTCTTCTGCACCTCCGGAACGATCTGCAACTCGGCGTTGCGGCTGACTGGGTTCTGCCTCATCACCATCAAGTTTGCCGTTAGGCTCGGCGCCTTCGAGAGTAAGGATTTGCTGTTGTATGGCTGCTGACCGCTCCTCTTTCTCATGAGCTTGGGCTCGAAGAACCTTGAGTTCTTCGGCTTGGTTGCTGAACGACGCCAAGTCCTTTCTCAGTTCGGTGATTTGACTCTCTCGCCGTGTGATGGTCTCCTGCAAGAGAGCAATCTGAGCGCACTGCTCCTTCGACCGTTCAAGGTCCGTTGTAACAGCCTTGATGGTCTCCTTGAGGGAAAAGTTTTCTCTTTCTAGCTCGCCGAGTTGTGCCACTTGAATCTGAGCAGCAGCGAGAGCAGATTCGAGTACAGCAATCTTGGTGATTTTTTGCTGGAGTTTCTCCTGTAGGTCCTTGTTCTCAGAAATCTGTGCCCTCAAGTCCTTCAAGTCATTGTGGAGGCCAGCGTTTTCCTCGGCGAATTGGTCCTTTTCTCTCGCCTGTTCTTCGAGAACGGTAGATCTAATTCGCAGGCTCTTGAGCTGTTTCTGGAGGGTTTCAATATCCTTGGACTTGTTCGCAATCTGCTGGATCTGAGATGCAGACTCCTCTTTGAGGTGCTCCAGAGAGGACTGTCGCTTTCTTAGATACTCCAGCTCTGCCGTAGCCTCGCCCAGGGCCTTCAAGGTCTCTTTGAGCTGTCGAACGGTATCGTCTGCCCCAGTCAATCTGTGTTCAAGTTCATCTATCTGGCTTTGCAACTGTTGCTGAGCCATGACCGCTGTAGCTGTGTCTTCACGAGATTGCTCAAGATCTTGTCGTAATTGCAAGTCCTGAGCTTTGGTCCTCGCCATTTTATCGTCAATTTCAAGGCTTCTCTGTATCTCATGGTCATGATCTCTCTGTAGACTCGAGAGACGAGCATTCGTGTTCATCAACTACTTGTTGTTAGCAGTGTCCTGATCAGCCGGGTAGAGATCCTTGCCTCTATATTTTGCTCTTCATTTTGTTGCTGGAGTTCGCTCAAAATGCTTTCTCCTGCGATCAATTCAGCTCGAAGACAATTGTGCTCGGCCATGGCTTCGTTCAGCCGGATCGTCAAATCAATCACTTCCGCATGGGTTTCGTTCTTGTCTTGCTTGCATTTTTCCAGCTCAGAGCACGCCGTTTGCCACTTTGTTGTGACTGTTCTCAACGAAGTTCGGAGCTCCTCACTTTGAACGATAGCTGCCTCTCTGTTGTTTCGAAGACCTTTGTTGGTGTTGTGCAACTCGGCCTCATGCTTCTGTGCCTCATGCTTCGCCTCGCGAAGTAGCTCTATGATCTGTTGAGCCTGCCCTGTCTTCCCCTCCAGTCGTGCCACTTCTGCTTTGGCTTCAGCAAGTTCGATATTACCTGATTGCACTTCTGATAACAATCTTGACACTTGGGTGGAGATGTCATGTTGCAGGTCATGCCTGAGACTTGCAATTGCTGACTGGACCTTTTCCGACAGCGACTGCTCAAGCTGGGTCAGCGATGACGAAACTGAAGTACAATCCTTCCTCAGTGGAACAAGATCTGATTTTACCAGCAGGTTGTTGTCAATCACCGACCCTATTCGATACAAGCATTCCATAATACATTTAGTCGCGGAATCCTCTTCTACTCTCTCACTCTGGAGCTCGCCGAGCTGTTTCGAGATATCCTGCAGGGTTTGATTGGTGGCCAGTTGTTGGCATTGAAGACGGACATTCTGTTTACTTTTCTCCTGGTCCAAATAGAGTATGTGAGCCTCCAACTTCCGACATCTCTGCTTCTCGCTCATCAAATGGTCGTCTTGGGCCGTGGCGAACGCAGTCAGCTGCTTGATCGTTGCGATGCTGTTCTCTGCCATTGCTTGTGCCGCACCGACACCGTTCCGAAGGTTCTCCATGTGCACTGAGGCTGAGTCCGAAGAGCATCGAACTTCATGCAATTGAGTCAACAGGTTGTCTCGGTCTTTAGTCAACCCGGCCAGAGTCCGTTGGAATTCTGAGGCATTTTGTTGTAGCATCTCACAATCTTTGTTTGTCTCCAGAGCCCATCTCTTCAGCTTACAGTACTTTTCTTTGAAAGCGACCAAGCTCTGGGTGAGAAGTTCCGAATACTCGGCACATTCGTCTCGTTCGTTGATAGTCCGTCGAAGCTTGGTTTCAGTCTGCTCATTTAGCTCTCTCAGATCTTGATTTTCGTGCTTAAGATGCTCCACTAGCCTCTCAAAAGTATTTTGCTTTTCGCGTGCTCGATACATGAGAAAGAAGTGCATATCTTCGTCTGATGGCTGTGTGAGGGCCGTTTCATCGTCATGGGGTCGACGATCTCGACGATTTGAGACTGTTCTCGAACGGCGGCGTGTCCTCGGAGACTTTGAAACTCTGGTTTCGTCGGTTGAGCTTACATCTGAGCCGGTTGCGCTGTGTCCCACAGGCCTTGCTCCTATTATTCTGTGGACCTTGGGTGTCGGTGTTGACTCTGGACTGGGGACAACCCGGTGATCGACGCCAATGGGACGCTCCAGATACTGGGTGTCTAAGCGGTCATGTTGAAGGGGTGCAAAGTCGAACTGAACCTCATCGCTGGATACAGCCTCGGCTCCCTGTTTCCCTTGTGAAGGAAGGGGAAGCTGGTAGGTATAAGTGGCTTGAGGAATCGGCTCATCCTTGCGAGATGCTTCGGGCGTCATTTCGGAGGGTATTGCTCGGTCTTCTGCATATATCTCAGTGTTGGTGTTGGTGATATACGGAGCTTGATGCGGCAAACCGTAGACTTCAATGCAACGGGCATCGTGTCCACGAGGATCCTCACTGAGTTTCTGATCGCCAACGTGAAGCTGAGGGCACTGTGGCATCTCGGCTTCTCCAGCCATGGTGTCAGGATTGGATTAGAGGTGCAGCTGTCGAGGGGATATGGCTGGGGAGATGACAAGGAAAAGTGAAATGAGATGCTGTGGGTGGCCGCGCAGCTGCTCAAGTCGTTTGTGCCAGGCCAAGAGTGAGCATCAGGTCACAGGTCACGGCTGCACTGCACCTCTTATCACGTCCTTATCCCTCCCTTTGATCACAGCATCAATGGACATATGTTCTTCGGTGGTTATCCAGGGACAGCTAGGTTCCGTGCTGGCAGAAATAGTCTGCCGCTCGTGTCAAAATCGGAGGAACGAGAGCATGCGCATGTGAGATGGCCCTATCACAAGCAGAGTAGAAATGTCAAGACAAAATGGCTAGAAGAGAACCCCTGAGCTGGCTGTATCTCCCTGTTCATTGTCATGGTTCCTGTCCAATATACGGCACGTGTGACATATCAACATGTTCTCCCAAGGCATGCTCTCAAATATATCAATAGGTATTGGTACTCCACCTGAAGTTGTTCGTAATCACGTCTTGCTCCCGGCCACGGGTCTTGTTCCAGGGCGTTCCTGACGCCTCACGCCCAAAGTCTACCGTCCAAACACCCTCTTCCACATGGGTGTCTTGGGGCTGTCCATCTCAAAAGCCGAAGACGGAATGGTTACACTGGGAGGTCTCGGGCGTTTTCTGTCCTTCTTTTTGCCTTTGGCCTTCACCGAGCCGTTGTCCCCTGTGGGTTCGACCCTGACGGCACCATCTGGCAGTCCCTTTTCAAGGTCACGACCACTACCCGTTGACGAGGACCGGCTTCCACCTGTTGCGTCCTTGCCATTGGTCATATTCGGTTTCGATTGGAGCAATTGGTTGTTCGCATTCTTCAATGTATCCTCCATTCGCCGTCTCTTCTCGACCGGAGAGAAGGTCATTTTCTTGGGCGTAATTGGCGTGGCTACGGCTTTGACAGCGCTTGTGACCTTCCTCGCTGACCGTCGGATGCTCTCCTTGATCTTCCACTGTCTCTTCTTTGCCAGGAAAAACAGAACGGTCATTGTGACTGGAAGAAATCAAAGTCAATTGCGTCAGGACGCTCGAGTCGAAAAACACACTCAAGGGGCAGACTCACCACCAAGGACGACCACGATGCTCACAACCACAGCGATTGCGATGGTCGCCCCACGACTCAAATTCACAGACCCAGTGTCTGGTCCTGCAGCCCCGGCGTCTTCTGTGGAAGTACCAGGGCCGGAGCCAATATCACCCGGTTCCACACCCTGAGCACCCCCACCATCACCAGACTGCGCCAGGACCCGTGAGTTTTCGAGTAGATCGAGGCATATAAGAAGCGCATGGACGTGCAGCAGCGGTGGCGGGAGAAATAACAAAGTCATGGCTGTAGCCTGTGAGTGATGTCGCCCAGCACTATCTGGTTTGCCGATGGGAGAGGCAGAAGCAAGCCGGTTCGCAGGGCGTATGAATTGTAAGAATATAGAGGGGAGGTCTGCGCAGCAGAAGAGTCGAGAAAGCGAGGAGACATGGGGCCCGGTGTCGTCTTGCGATATTGACTCAGCTTATGTTGAACCAGATGGGCGTCTGCATGGCTCTGGCCCTTTGGACGGCGTCATCTCGAACGCAGTCTGGGACACCTGCACCGCCTCTGGCCAAGGGTCTCTGAGGACAGGCCTTAGGTCGAGAAGACAAAGACATCAAGTGTGATGAGTGCGATTGGAGATGGATTGCGGGTGATGAAACTTGAAAAGAAACATCCAAGGCCAATCAGTCTGGGCTGGTTCGGGGATCCTACAACCACCAGGAGAACTTAAGCGCCCACTTGAAACTATCACAAGCCTTGGCATTGGCAGCCTCGTCGTCGTTCATGATACTATACCACTAGATGATCATATCACCAATGTACATCACTTCAATGCCCAAGTCCCCCCCTCCCCAAAACTACATTCGGACTTGGGACGATCATCGCCTATGTAACGCCATCAGAGCCAACCTAGAGGCCCACTCCGAAGCCCTTGCCGGGCCTTAGTCGTAGTCGCATGATAACCATTACTCCCTCCATTCACAGCACTGAGTGGTCAATAGTTGCAGATGATGCATCAAGTCTCCCAGTCTCCTTCGATGGTGTTTACAATGTTTCCCATCCGCCGGCATTGACCTCACTCTCCAGCTTCCTAGCAATTGTGCTCCACACACTGCCATTGATCATCAACCACGTATCTCTCAGCAACTTGTCGTACCGCTTCTGGTTGAGAATTAACTGGTGTTTCGATCTCAACCCCGAATCCGTCTCCCCATGTTTAGTCAGGTATGGTGCTGGGAAGAACGATCCGTGGCTCATGGTAGAGCTTGGTGGTAGCCCTTGGACTCGCCGGAGGAGAGTATCTTGCACGCCAGCTTTGGGGTCCTTTGTGACATGCAGTAGTGCTACATGACATTTGCGTATAAACAAGAACATGCCGATCGGGCTCGAACACTTTTGGACATGCGCATTGCAGCCGCCACGCTTATCTTTTGTTTGGCAGCAGACAGTCTGCGAACAGAAGATCTCGCCGCAAAACAGGCAGAGCGCAGGGTCCAACACCTCTTTGCCCGTGGTAGGACACCGGCGTTTGTGCGACTCTTCCATCAGAACATCAAAGTATTTCGGAAGCCCAATCAACTCAAACGGTGCCGGATGTAACAACTTGATACCCAGCGGGCGCATATGTACCCCAACAAGCTGAAGCATCATCTTGCTCTTCACTTCGAACTGTATACATTGCTGAAGCCAGATGCCTGCCCGATTTTTCAAAGCGTCCGAAGTCGAGTACTCGCCAAAGGACCGGAGAATGTCATCAATATTTGGCAAGTGTAAGAGATGGCACAGACGCTCGAGCTCGGACAACCCTGCTTCAGAGCCAGCTGTGGTGGGAAAATCGATACCATGCGCGACGTGAAAGAAGATGGCGGATTTACGTAGAAAGGCGAGTGCATACACCTTGCATAGCTTGAATAACATCCCTGCTGTACTGGGTGACATTTGCTGCAAGCTATTGGGAATGTCGTAACCGTTGTTGGTTTGTCGGATCTGTTGTATGGCCCATAGCACAATGCTTTCCACGCTCCGTAGCTGCTCTGTTTCCGTGGTGGGAATAGTGGCATGGCGGATCTGGTTTTGAGTGAGCATTTCACCCACCTTCAGGAGGGCGGTTGAGTTGAGCAAGAAAGCCACAACCACTCGGAGGAGCTCAATAGTCAGAGCCATTTGTAAAACATGTCGCAACTGTAGGTTTCGAATGGGGCCAAGCACCATTGTTGCCTGGACCAGAAACTGGAAAGGCTCTGCACAAAGGAGAGGCAATTCGTTCTCGGACTCGGGTGATGGCGTCGTATTTCCCGGTGTTCCAACAAGCTGACGCTCGAGACGGTCGCAAAGTTCTCGATACTGCGTCTCGACAGAACCACGGACCGTCAAGGCACCTGTAGCGGCGTAGGCTTTCAAGGTCGATGACAGCGTTTGTAGGTGGCTGAGCGTCTGTTGCGGTATGCTTGTCAACAGCGAAGTGCCAAATTCGGCCTCCCGGCCCCGGTGACCGATCTCGACGGAAGCTATGGTATTGGCCAATGTGTCGACCAGGAGCTGAAAGTGGTTCAGGGACGAGTCTTCCCGAGGAGCCACGACTCGGCTGGTCGCCGCTACAATTGCGAGAGTTTCTCGAAGGCGACCGTAGATGCTTGAGAGCTCAGCGAAAGCGGTAAGCTCGGGTCGCTCGGCCCATGCTTGACTTGTGGGACTTATTGTGAGATCACCTGATTGCCAGCGAGCTATGGCCGGGGCCAGTGAGCTGTTGGAGAATGTTGCCAACGTCTGCAAGTAGGTCTGTGAAGCATGCGCATTGAAGGAGGGATCTTGAGCGGCAGTCGGCGAATCGACTGATGGCAGATTATTGTCCAAGAAAGAGTCGAACTCTTGCGACACCTCGAGCGTTCCGGGGTAGGACTGCTGTGAATGTTTCCACACGATCGGCAGGAAGGTATTCGCAAGCGCCTTGCACAGCGGGCAGACGAACTCCTTCAAAGATATCCGTTCAGGGTGATTCCTGGCAACCTGTTGCGAATGCCTCCGTGTAATTGACTGATAGTAGTTTTCGAAACACGTAAAATGCATAATGTGCCCACAGCTGGTCGAGACGGGACCCTTCATAGTATACCCTTGTGGCCAGCCTTTACCTAGCCCTTGAAAATCAACGGTGACCTCCTGGCCATCTGCTGTCAGACGCTTCACTTGTTCATGATTGGATCCCGAGACACCAAATGGCCGGATATTTTCGAGAGAGCGATCCAGGTTGTCCGGGATCGTAAAGAGCTCACCAACAAAGTCGACATCATCCGTATTTGTTTCCCGTAAGATGTGGGCGTCGGTGACCATAGCAAACGTGCCATAGAATCTCGAATCAGACGTATCTTCACGACATTGGATACATAGTCCCGCAGGATATTTCCAGTGCCGCATTTCAGTTGATTTGGGTAGCTCTTCATCTGGGGACTCCAAGTCTTCATCCCCCCAGTCGGTCATGCCTTGTTTGTCCATAAAACTTTGTTGTTGCTGCTGAAATTGGGCCATGACTCTTGCTTTTCGTTCCATTGCCTGTTTCTTCTTGGCCTCGATCTCGTTTTCGACGTTGGCAGGAGAAGCTGTGTCAAATCTGCCAGAAGGAAAATCCAAGTTTCGTGTAGCCGTAGTGAACTGGTCGGGCAAGCTCTGATGGAACAGCCGCAGCATATGTCTGATCTTGCTTCGGCAAGAGCTGAATTCTTCCATGAGCCATATTTTGGATAGCACCGCAACGATGGTGGATGGTGGACTGTTGAAGGATTCGAATTCTAGCTTCATGGCATGGCGAATGAAGGAGGGGCTTTCAACCGCATCATGAGTCGAATCGTCTTCCAACGTAGCAATCAGCGCGAGTTGGAGAACAATTTGAAAAAAGGCTTCAACGCGAGTTGCCGAAACACCAGCCTTGGACTTATGACCGTGGGCGACGTAGACCAGCGCTTTGTGGATGATATCTGCGAAAAGAGTGGTGTTGACAACGGCACAGAGATTGGCGTACGCCTCGCAGGGGATAGGATGCAGCTTGGGATCCAGCACTATGTCTTCCGGTGGCTTGTGCAACTTTTTGCCCATCCAGTTTTTGTAGATGTTCTCGGCCTCATCTCTCTGGTTTTTGGTGAAGTGGGAGTTGTATGGATCCAGCTCTTGCAAGTACTCCTCTTTCAACTCAAACAAGCCAGAGTCATGAAGGCCTTCTGGGGGCCTATATTTGGTCATCTGCTCAAGGACTTCTTGTAATTGTTCGTGGTCTTGTGCTCTTTCCGTTAGGCGAGCATAGAGGTCCGAGTATGACAGCGGTTTGAAACAGAGCGTATGAGCAATGTCTTTTCGAAGCGTAAGGAGTTGAGATTCTGGGTTGTCTCGGTCGGAAATGAGAGCATCCCTGTCGGAGAGTAGATTGATCAAAAGATAGACAAAATCTTCCGCCAGGTCCAGCATCTGGTTGTCGTCGCAGATCTCGAGGGACTCAAATCCATTCCGCATCCAAGCAGAGAGGCCGAACCGGTCGATCATCGACGCCAGCACTCGGCCGGGGTCACAGACTACCAGTGCCGTTTGCAGGAGAAACAAGTCTCGATGGTGGCCAACGTCACGATGGGCGACGCTTTTGTACTGGACCATCTGATGGCGCAGACTCATCCCATTGCGGACCCATAGATTGGCCTTCATCTGCGCCAACCAGGCACACACACGAAGGGGAAAGTCGAACATTGCAAGGAGGGCATCGTCGGTAGAGTTGAGAGCAGTCTTGATTGGGGCGTCTCGGGGTCCTAGATGGATATCGTATAGGTGGGACAAGAACGTCTGCGCAGTATCCCGGAGAGTATTTATGGACTGTTTAAATTCCTTCCCACATTCTAATAACCAGGAGAGCGTATAGTGCAGTGGGTGATGGAAACTCAAGGCGCCCTTCTCCACTACGAAGTTGACGACCTTGTAGCCGTAAGGGGCCACGGTGTGAAAGCGAACAGGTTCTTTGATCTCTGCCTGCTCAAATCGACGCCGTTCAAGCCCGACAGAATTTATGATTGCGACACCTGCAGCATGGGAGATTGCGTCCCAGGTCGAGCGTAGAGCCAAAGGACTGCTGTCTTTAGAGACATAGTATGCTTCGGCAAACTGTCGACAGAGTTTGTTGATATCTCGTGTCAATAAAGAGGCACTGATCCAAGCATCCGTTTCGTATTCAACATGTTCTCCCACAGCTCGCACATTTGGACAGATGCCCTGGGACAGCTTCGCTAGGTCGAGGAATTGGAAGAGATACTGCGGCTCGCTCCGGGCCTTTGCCTGTACAAATGGGGAGGCGAGGAAGTATCTCAAATCAGAGAAGAAATGATAGAGTCGACGGTTGGCAACGGATCCAGCGTCGAAGCCTAGGGTGGCCCCTGGGTCGAGATCCTTAGGGAATCCCACTTGCCGGGTAGTCAGGAAGGTATAAAGAATAGCCATCAGGTTCGTGAGGAAATTCCCCCGCTCAATCACCTCTTCCGTGATCGAGGGCGTTGTCAATAACTGCAAAGATAGGTTTATGATGGAATGGTCTGGTTCTCGATCTGCCACGAGATAGAGCTGTGCGAGGGTTGTGTACAGACCAGAGAACCTTAGTCCAAGGACACGTTTGAACTGGGGAATATTGACTAGTGTGCTGATGAAGAGATCCCGCATATTTGTTCTTGCAAGCTTCCACAGGCGCAGATCGAAGAGAATCATCGAGTCCACCCGGATGTTCTTCGTCAGATCTTCGTAGACAGGAATGGTTGCGTTCTGGGGAGGTTGACCCGACGGAGCTAACTTCCAGTGGTTGGGCGGCGTGGATCGGTGTCGTGTCCTGCGCGACGAGGTTGCAGGCGTCCTCGGTATGTTGAGATAATTGGCATTGCTATCTGGATCAGTGGGAGAAGCGTCCTCGCCCATTGCCACATTGTTTCCGGGGTCTCCAACATCTTGAGTAGGAAGGGCTGGCGGCGGAGGTGACGGTCTATCCATATCCATGCGTTCTGCAATATCCAAGAAATCTCCGTCACCGTCCGTGTCCATCTCCTCGGCGTCGTCTGTAACATCTGCGTCGCCTGCTTGTTCGGCCAGGAGATCCAAGCGATGCGACGCGTCGAAGACGGTGGCCGTGAGGATCAGATCGTTCATTTCCCGATCATCCACGTCGACTAGTTCGTTGTCGTCTTCATCCTCATCCTCTTCGTCATCATCCACTTCCCCGGTCTCGTTGCCGTCACTGGCTTCATCCTCATCCAGAATTTCCCCTGCCATTGCGCGTTGCATTGCGAATTGGATGGGATCGAAAAGGCGGAGTCTTGTCCTCCTTCTGTAGTCGCGGTCGTCCTCGTCGCCATGATCATCGAGATCCTCTCTCCCCACTTTGGCGTTCCACGCTTCACTTCCGATCCTCCATATCTGGAGCATCTCCTCGCAAATGACCCGCCTTAGGATATGGCTATCCCCTGCGATGCTGGACCCCGCGATATCGGCAAGCCATTCGATGATTGTACCACACATCTGTTCCCGAAAGGTGTCTCTGGATGACCTGATGGTGACGGTCACTTTGATTTCCTCGATAATCTTGGCCATCCTGGTGAGCTCTTTGAGATCGCGAGAGTGCCTGATCAGACTTCTGCCAATGTCATTGGCCTCTTCGGCTTTGGCCAGACCGAACGCCTCTCGTTGACGACACGCTCGGGCCACTTGCGACTGTACCTCACGTACCGTGTGCTTCTCGTCATTCCAGATGATCAAGCAGTAATCAGGATTGGTTTCAACTTCATCCCCTGACACGTAGTGCTCCGCAGAGAGCCGACTTTTCACCTCGTCTTGAGTCACCGACTCCACCGTCTTGGGTAAGCGCAGGTTCTCGGGAGAACAAGATATGATATCACAAAAGTAGTCCAAAACTGTGCCAATGGTACTGCGGATAGACCCTTGCAAATCTCCTGGCAATGGAGAGACGTGCTCATCGGTTGTTGCCCAATCGTCACTTGCGGTATGAATGGCACATTTGACCGGTCTCTTCCACGCCTCATCATCCCCGCAATCGCAACATCCGCTATTTCCAGCACTGACATTGACGGTATACTGGTGGCCTTCATGGTCGCTTGCAACGAAACAACGGGAACAAAGGACGGCGGTCGTGTCATCGGTGCAGGTGCTACAGTGATAGCTGGCCTCTCCTGGTTTGAAAATGTGCCCGCACGGATGGCCTCTGGCTGCTGCACTGTACTCGGCGTTCTCTTGTACTCCTTGTGCGTCTTGCAGCTTATAAGAGGGAGGGAAGCCCTCTGGGAAGAGGTCGTGCAAGTAATCGGCTCGGTCATTGGTCAGGGCGCGAAAAAGGATTTCTAGGAGGCTGTTGCTTGCACTGGCGCTGTAGCGATAGTCATGCTGCCGGGGGTGGTCGCAGAGGGCCTGGCGGAGTTGACGGTCCAGGCTCGAGGTCGGCGTGGTCATGACGAGGGTTTCGTGCTGGCCGTTGCCGACATTTGGACATGCAGAGGCCAGACGTGAGGGTAGAGAACGGGTACCGTCGGAAGGGTAGGGATTCCGAGGAATCGCAGCCACCTGATGACGAGGGCGGGAGCGTTATGCCACCGTTACGAGCTGAATGAATCGATCTGTACTCGGCGAGTTCGGTACTCTAGGTACTCACCCAGCGTGATCCGGGGTCGGAGAATATGGGATCACGAGAAAATCGAATGACGCAAGGAAAAGGAGACAATTTGGCGCAGGGGAAGGAAGCGTGACGAACGCTACGATGCGGTTTTACTATTATGAGACTAACGTGCCAACGTGCTAACTCGGTACAGGGCCAAGACCCGTCCGGGCGGAAAAACTGTTCCGGGCTCACCCTCCTTTGGGGACGAGAGTGACGCCGCCCTATCATACTCGAAGCTCACTCGTATTCGTATACCCTCATCTCACCCTCGAGGCTGCGAGAGGACGAAACGATACTGACATATCGTGCATACCTACGGGGACTTGTAGTAGAGAGGGATGAGAGACTGTCTCAGAACAGGGCGGAGAGCAGGTTAGGCTAATACCGCTTGACATGCAAAGGCGGCGCCGGTATTTATACGATTCCAGACTAGCTTAGTCTGCCCCGCTCAGGCTATACCTCCGAGAACTCGGATATTGCACTATCACTTCTCGGTATCTACATAGGTATCAAAGGAGATATATTCATAAGAATTCTCGCTTCCACTTTCACTAGCTGCTACAAAGGGATCACTTTGTATATGATCGACCCTTGTGCTAACTCGTCCAACTGCCTGGTAACCATGGTCAGTTTTGAGCCACTACTTCCCTCTTTCTACCGAGTACTTGCTGACAACCTGAGGCGACTTGAACTAGTGGCGCTCAAGAGGCATTTCAGGAGGCCTTGTCGCACGATGAAGTGACCTTGGCAGGCGCGATCTTGGAGACCAAGCGTGCCACGGGCGTGGCGGGGTTTAGGGGACTATTTTGTGTGTCAACGACCCGACAGGGCCTAATAGAATGCTAGCCCGACACAAGGTACCTCCCTTTCCGTCGAGTCAGACTCTTCGGGGCGGCGCGATCTCATCTTCCTCACTGGCCGAGATATTAACCAGCGCCTCAATCCCCATCACCTTTGGATCTCCCTCGCCGTTACGGCCAATGTTATTGTGTCCTGCAAGGCTGAGTATTCCAGACATGCCCAGCTACATCCTGTATATTGTGCTAGGTGTTCTTGGATGATATGGCGAGACTACTGTGCTTAGGTTAGGTCAGGTCGTTATGCGTCTTGTCCTAGCTTCATGACGAGCACGGTTCATTGGGGGCCCAGGTGTGCCCTCGAGCTTGATCATCGCCACTATAGTGGCCCTCGTCACTTTACCAGTGGCACTCATGACCGGCGTCGTTGCCGTCATCACCATAATACTGCTCCTCGTCGCCTTCGCAGTGGCCGTCATGGTTGGCGTACTCGCCATCAAAATCACCATACTGACCATCGTCGCCACTATACTGACCCTGCTCGTCGTCATCACCTCCCATAGCCTCCTCGTCCCCGTTATGTTCTTGGACCTTCTCAAAGTCACATTCCTCATGTGCATGGTCGCCGTCGTTCAAGCTGTTGAAATCAGCATAAGTGTCGATCTCTCCATTGTCATTGTGGTGGTGGTGGTGGTGGTGGTGGTGGTGATCATAATGCTGGGCGTCTATCGGCTCATCCTCAGCATTCAGAAGGTGTGAGTGGTCCTCGTCCGGGAGATATTCGCTCTTCCACGGATGGTGATTGAGCTCTTCAAGGTCCGAATCTTCGTCTACCAATCCCAGCGTCCTATAGTGATGTGGTTGAAACTGTCCGTTGAGCGACAACGAAAAGACCGCTAGAAACTTCTGCGCCTCCTCATGGCTGGGATCATGTGTGAGAATCTCCTGCGCGGTGTAGGCGATTGTTTTGCTGTGGTGATGCAGAGCCTTGTGTCGTTCGGCTTCGTCCATCTCCTCTCCTGTACATGTTAAAATGACCACATCAAGCCGCTCCAGGAATTCACCACGTGCACTGACCTGAGTCATCATGAGCCTTGATGTATTCATCTATGGCATCTTCGAGCTGCTCTTCCAGTTCATCGATCGTTTGATATGACTCTTCGTAGTCTGCCATGTTGTAACAACTTTGCAGGGTACCGGGCGGCTCGTGAAAGCGTCGTATGTGTGTGGATGGCTCTAAGGTACAAATCAATCGCTGATTCTTGAGCGGAAAGTAAGACCCAAGGAAACTGTCCAAGGCGCATGAGAATAGTCTAGATTAAATCCTCTTCTCGCCCTGGGCACTCACGTCCTGCGTCTACTCTTCCCCCTGTGTGGTTATACCTGTTCCGGAACAGTACGATCCTGTCATCATATAAGCAGCAATAGCTAGATATAGCAGTCTTAAGTGGACCAGGATTTGACGAGGAATTTCTAGGGCTCACCCAGGATGCTAGCCGAGACGGGAAGAGAGCCTATTGATTGGTACGCCTCGACCCTACAGGTGCATCCTTAGATGTGGAGTTATATAGCACAGTTTCGGTATATGCGCCGCGGGGTGTCCATTGATGCTTATCTACCATAAATGGGTACAATAACAGTGCGAGTAGCTAGAGCGATGCGCTATGGAATGGCATAAAAGTACCAGTATTGACCCTGAGCAAGGCAATGGCTTTCTTCACATTGTACTTGTCAGAGGCACTCGGGGTCTCTTGAACCACTTATTCCTGCAGCCTTGTCTGCAGACTCTATAGCACCATGAGTGGTAAGGGAATTTGTGTGAGCTACGCTGAGCATTCGTATGCTAACAAGCTATGAAAGACCAAGGAGCTGGTGGCCACCAGCAAAATCTCCCCTATCGCCCTCCTTCTCCTGGTCCACCTCCTCCTGCGACACCTCAGCCCGCCCAGATTCCCCTGAGCAGTTATTCTTCTTTAACTAACTGGGCCGGAGGCGCTACGGATCTTCACCACCAGCCGCCTCCTCCTGCGACACCTCAGCCGCCGCCGTCGCCGTCACCTCCTCCTGCGATACCTCAGCCCGCCCAGAGCCATGGGGTCCCCCAGAGTAGCGGTTCTCCTTTAGCTAACTGGGCCGGAGGCGCTACGAATCTTCAGGCCACAGAGCCTGCGAGTAGCAGCAATCAAGCACTACCACAAGGTGAACCATCTTCTTCGAATCCACATTCGGCTCCTGCTCCGTCCCGCCTTGGTCCCGTCCGCCCTGGTCCGGCCGAAGCTGGTCCTTCCCGCCTTGGTCCAGCCGAAACTGGCTCTGGTGTCTATCCTAATTTACGGGCCCGAAAGAGGAGACCCGGCCTACCAAGGTGCGTGCCATGCAGGACAAAAGGCATAACGTGTTTCAAAGGGCAGCCCTGTTCCCAGTGCAAAAAACGTGGCATTGAGTGTGTTTGGGACACGGAGGTTACGGCTAAGGGAGCGTCCACACCCTTGCCATGTAAGCTTTTTCTTTGGTGACGATGTCCGTATGTACTGACCAGCGGCAGACCCTTGCAAGCGGTGCGACGCAAGAACAATATTTTGTAACCGCGGCAGACCCAGCTGCCTCTCTTGCAACCAGGCAAATGAACAGTGCGTATACGACCGGTCGGTGGTGGAAAAGACGCCGGCTCATCCAAGGAGGGGCGTCCGCAGAAGTACGATTTTTTTATCAGTTGACCCCCTATGCCTGCATTCTCCAAAAATGCTGGCTGCTGACCTTTCAAAAAGTACCTTGCGATTACTGTGCAACCACCAGCAACAGAATTTGCGACGAACAAGACCCCTGCTATTTCTGTCAGATCTTTCATAAACAATGCACATACAACGGCGCTCGAAGACTCTTATGACTTTAACTTGATCTTGCTCTCAAACGCCAGACACAAGGAGCTTCGTGGAGCTGTTCTCTGTAACACGGCGGGTCAAGGGAGTTACGGAGGTTGGATGGAGCCTCGAGTCGGAGGGGCAGACATTGGGGGACTGAATATTTTGCAGTAACGCGAACGCGAGGCGAGGTAAGCATTAGGTTGAACGAACACTCTTGATGGGGAAGGGATACCGGAAGAATGGACCTTGTCGTTAATGGGTACAGGTGCGTGGGCCTCACACCTCTGCCCAGATGTGGCCGGGACGAATCAGACCAATGAAGGGGAATCAGCCGGCGACGGAGCGGGTCCATTCATTGGTTCTCATTGGCAAACCCCGGCTCTGTGTCGGAGCTAACCCCTTTTAGAACTGCGCAGGTGTGCGAGCACGCGAGGTATTATATGTACCCTCATACCAAGAAGTTGAACCGTCCTCCCTCGCGAATCGAGACGTGATGACAGTCATCCTTTGGTGACGGAGAGAAAAATTTACAAACAAGGTGTTCGGTGGCACCTATACATACCACTATGGCCCTGACCCTGTCCCTGTCCCTGGATGCCCCGACAGGCCTCGTAGCAGATCGATTACCCCGTCACCTCCACCCATCTGACGTCGCAGTTGTCATATCTCGCTGTTTCTACTTCCTACCATGGCAGAAAGCGCTGTTCTGAACGAGCATGCAGCAATGACAAAACACCATGTTATGTTTCCAGACAAACCCCGAACATACTACGCCACGGAGCTTTTTCGTCGACATTGGAGTGTTGCCACATGGGCCAGATCGTGATCCCGTCTTTTTGTAGCGGACAGGCCGGGTTGAAAGACGCTACAGCCGAGTGTAGCGCTCACTAATGATCTGGTAAGAACCCGCCGATAGATCCCCACCCCTCCCTCCCCCTGGGGGTTTGCCAACTCCGAGAATCTCGTGTGCGTGGCGACCGCAAAGAGACATCTAGACGGGGGATGGAACTCGCGGTCGCAGTCTTGCGTGGGCCAAGGTCTAGTGAATAACTCTGCTCCGAGTCTCCATGACGAGAAATGAACATTGTAATAGCTTGCCTGTCAGTCGATCGTGGCTCCATGACTGACTGGGAAGCGCATTCGGCCTTTGACCCGATAGTGCCCAGTAAATACCAAATAACAACTAATAGATGCATCAAGTTCCAATCGTCGATACGTTGGATGAGGCAAGAAAGCCCCCCTCATGTCAGGAAGACGATGGGAAGGGATTAGATCGGGGTCGGACTCGCATGTCGTGGATGCGCATAGCCTTCTAACACCCAAACTCGCAACGCAGTCATTCACTGGTTATCGAGCTTTTGAGTTCCCACTCGTCGGTACCCGGGAGTGGGAATGTCAAGATCATGGTCCTGGTCCTCGGATAGTCTATGCAGATGAAAAGAATGAAAGCGTTCCCTCGTCGGACTGCCTCACTCTGGTCGGTAGCCTGACGATCTAGGAGTCGCTTTAGATCACACGATAAACCCAGTAGTGAAGTAGTGAGAGTTCTTGGATGGGCAGGTATTGAGAACACGACATGTTGAGCTCGGGACTCGTTATACATATCTTGATGTTTAGGGTGTTATCCAGTCACGAAATGGGATAGAGGAACTACACCTTCTGGAAATCAACAACTCAAATTTGTCCACTTTGTCCAAACCTACCACATGCCGTAGTCAAGAAAGCAAGGCCTAAAGGCCCTTCAAGTCCCCATCCGGAGTGTGCCGCCTTCCAAGGACAGCTATGCCGCCACCAAACGTTCATGATGCGACACCGAAATTGTCGATACTCTTTCGATGGCAAGCTCACGGGTTGTCACACAGATGTTGCTGAAGTCTGTCTGAGGCGAAGCCACGGCCCCTCTGCATCACATCGGTAAACATAGATAATGGTAGGGTAGAGAAGCTGGAAAATGGCGGAAAATGGCCTCAATTTCAGGGTTGTTCTCATCCTTCGTTGTTATGTACATAGTTTTTTCGAGTTTTGTTTCCACGTCCCCTTGGGAAACACGGATGTTGAGTTCGACTCCATACTTCAAATACCCTGAGCGTCCAAACTACTCCTCGTCCTCTTCTTCAGCTTGTTGTATGTATCGGTGTTTGATGTCTTTCCATTGCCGCTGTGTCCAGTCAGAATCTGCGATTCGAGGAAGCCAAGGGTATCGAGCACGTACACCTTTGTTCCAATTGTCCCATATAGAGTTTGTTACACCCTCAAATGCCCTGCGAAGTTCATCAGCTTCCAGATATCAATATTCGCGTGAGAGGCGCTCTCACAGCTCGAACGTGAAGGCGCCAAGGAAGATGGTCGTCAGCCAGGTGGCGTTTTTCCGCATCAGGCCACTGTGAAGGAGTGAGCAGGAGCAGAGATGAGGTTGTAGGATAGGAGATCGTACTTGAAGATGCCGCTAGAAATTTGAGACTGCGAGCGTCAGCCAGAGTTTAAACAGTGCCGGGAATTCCAAGAAGCGGCAACTCACCACAGCAGGCATCTTGCACGAGTAGCTGTTTTCTTAAAGCTTGGAATTGTCAACGAGGGTAACGCGAGGCCAGTTCTTCAGCAACTCCGAGTCGATTGTGAACAGGTCCTTCATGAGAGCTTGCGACAAAGAGCTCAAGGCCAAGGCAGGTGACCAGAATGGCAAGTAAGCCGATGTATATCTTGGCATACTTGGCATGGTTGACTACCAGAGCGATACTGCGTATTACTAAACTACCTCGACGAGCACCACGTGGGTGCCACGTACCTATCTCATTGTGCACATACACAGGTAGAGTATTATTACATAGATTGCTGTCAACTTGTGCCCTGCAAGTGCATGTGCCTTTGAAATCGCTTGTCACTTGATACAATCTCTAATTTGTCGCCTTTTCAGATACTCATCGTCACACAAAAACCATACGTGCTGGGTTGACTGATTGATGATGTTGAAAGCTTTGGATGATGTCCTCAATATCGGCACCTTCTGTTTTGAAAAATATCACTGTTTGAGAAATGAAAAGTTATGGACGCTGGAATGGAAGACAAGGTAACACCGTTGTGCATTTACAGAGCCTGGCTTTATTCGACGCCAAACATACATCTCGCATTCGGTGGCAGAGGATTGGGTTGTCGCGATCGTCTTCGCAAGATCCTTTGATACCGCCTGGATCCCTATTCTGCGTACCTACCTCGCACTGTTTTGTGCCCCGACGCGCTGCCTTAGATAGGGAGGTAGGTATAGATAGCGTCACTTTAAGTACTCGATCCGTCTAAGAGGGTCTGTGAAAAACGGCTGTGTCGAGAAGGACAGTCACCAACTTAGTAGGCGTTAGTGAATGTCTGCCGCTCTCATATAAGCATGTGGCGTACCTCGGTGTCGAGGATGTGTTGATGTGGACAAAAAGAACTGCCTGGATATGGCGGAAATAATATGTACATACGGACCGGGTGCGAGGGGTTCGCTTGGAGATCCACCGGACGCAGCCGTCAATTCACTTTCATGTTCCCCTCCGCTGCCGCGAGGTCCACAAAAGCCACCGAAATTATTCGCAGCGCATTTCTTTCGCTGTCCGAACGTTCTAGTCCAGGAAGCCTTCGGCTGCTTGTACGTGGAACCTTTGGAGAGGTCAGCAATCTCGCCATGTTGACGCCCACCTGATCGCGTACAAGCCGCCACACCACGCTTTCCGCGGCTAGCTCTGGCCTTCCACGATGTCGAATCCACCTTCTGGCACGCCTCGGGCCAGCAAGTCCGGCATAGAGACCTCTGCAGATGGTGCCTCCTACATTCCGTCTTCGACAAGGGCAGATGGTTCGACCAGAAAAGAGATCAGAGTGAGGCCGGGATATAGACCGCCAGAAGACGTCGAGACCTACAAGAATAGGAGTGCCGAAGCATGGAAGAACAGAGGTCATGGCGGCGTCCCGGGAGCAGAGCCGGTGACTGCGACTAAGAGTGAGGTTTCCACAATGGGCAAGAATGCAAAACGCAGGGAGGCGGCGCGGAAGAAAGCAGCCGCGGGAGTGTCAGCAGAGGATGCAGAAGATGGACTTTCTTCAGCTATGCAAAAGACTGAGATCTCAAAGAGAGACAAGCGCAAGGAGAACTGGGACGATCCTGCAAAGCTGGCAACTAGTGAGGTATTGGCGGCCGACGCTGAGATGGAACAACAGAAGAAGATTCGCAATCAACTGAAAAAGTTACGTGCAGTCCGCGAACTGAGAGAAAAGCGGGCGGCTGGCGAGAAGCTGTCGCACGACCAGGTCATGAAGATTGGAAAAGAAGGCGAGCTGCTGCGGGATCTCAAGAAATTGGGCTACGACGGTCCGGAATTGCAGGCACTCACAGCTGATTCTGGAAACGAAGTCGCCGTTCCACCAACTTGATCGATTGACTGGATAATATGCCCGCTAATTTATCCTCTGTCGACGGATCTCTGAAGTCCACGCTGATCTCAAGGTGAAGAAATGGGACTAGACCACAACGATCATCGCATCTATCTACGATCCCGTACTCGCCAAACATCTAAAGGCTTTTGCAGTCGCCACAGCCGTCGTATGATGTGGGAGAGAGGTGGAGGGTAACGGAGGGTCATCATGACTCAGGACTGGGAGAAACTTGCGCGCTGTGTACAGCCCCAGGCGTCACGCTGGATGAGTTGTGGCGGCGCCAGCGGCATATCTGGGGACACGATGTTGATGCCGTGATTTCGGTTCGTCGGGAAGCTGCTTCAAAAGAGCACTTGCCATACTACGCCTTGCGAACACTTGTATGTGGTACTCGGTACATGGTTGGCATTGAGCGCGGAAGCGGGGGTAGTTCTATGGCAACTGAGCCGAGATGGTCCAGCATCATCACGCCAAAAGTTTGGTAGAGTTGATTTCAATTGCATGTCGACGCCCACATCAATTTGCTTGCCCGCCTCCAACTCCCCTCTAGCTCTATCAAGCACCCTTCCGCATGCACCGCTCGGTGTGTATCCACTGGATATGCGCGTGGGTGTCTGTAATGCTCCCTACTCAAATGCCGTAAAATACGCCTTCCAGCGACGAGGGCAGCCACTACTGCGCCTTCGCACGTTTCATTCATCCGCCAGCCATGGCTTGGTCAGGATACCCCAATCCGATGGTCAAGATGTTCTTCCTCCCCCAAATCCGCATGCCCGAGAGATAGCCATTCTGGGTGGAGGGTTCACGGGCCTCGCTACAGCCTTCCACTTGAGCAACCAGCTTCCCAATGCAAAAATTACAATACTTGAGAAGAATGACAGGTTAGGCGGATGGGTTGATTCGGAGGTGGTTCCAGTGGACAAGGGGGAAGTCCTTTTTGAATGGGGTCCACGAACATTAAGAGCTGGGTTGGGACCTGCGCCCCTTGCTATGCTTGAGCTGGTAAGCCCAATTGTGAAGAGTCCTCTGTCCTTGTCGCTAAGGTGGGGTTTCTAGCTTGCACAACTTCACATAGGTAAAGACCTCGTCGCGATATCAAAGTCTAGCCCGGCTGCGCTCAACCGCTACATCTACTATCCCGACCACCTCGTTCGCTTGCCTGTCCTGTCAAAACACACTTCACTCTTGGAGTTGCTCCGGGTTCTGAATGCGGTACTTACCGAACCGCTATACGAAGGAATTCTGAAATGTTTCAGAGAGCCGTGGGTGGCTCCCCGGGATGAAGATGTGAAGGACGAATCTGTTGGAGATTTCGTATCGCGACGGTTTGCCAGGGAAATCGCAGATAACTTACTTTCGGCTGTATGTCATGGGATTTTCGCCGGCGACATCTACAAGCTTAGCGCCAGGACTTTGCTGCCGCAATTGTGGCACCTTGAGACCCGTGACCGAGAAAGAACGCCTGGGGTCCTTCTGGAAATCTTGTCCAACATGGTGAACCGCGTTACTCTCACGCCTGTCAATGTTGCTCTGCATGTGCACCGGCAGATTCTCGCGCTCCAGTCCCGAGAGACTTATTTCAAAAGAGTGCCGAACTTGGACAGCTTCGCCGAAGTAAGTGTTTATACGTTTCGGCGAGGCTTGGGCCAGATAACCTCTGCGTTGGAACAAGAGCTTAGCAAGAACAAGAACATCACCATCTTGCGCTCGGCGGAAGTCAAGGATGTCGAATTCAACGACAACAAAAATCAAGTGTCGGTCACGCAAATGCCAGCTGGAACCACCTCAAACTATGATTATGTGGTTTCCACGCTGGGTCCTCGAACACTGAAACAGTTTCTCACCAGCGGTGCTCAAGCGTCGGGCTCAACGCTGGATCCCAAGGTCGCAAAGGCCTGTGAACACAGCGACTGCTCCGTCAATGTCATGGTTATCAATCTCTACTACAACAATCCAGACTTGCTGCCGCCCTCACTGAGAGGTTTTGGCTATCTTATTCCGCGCTCCGTGCCACTCGAACAGAATCCTGAACGAGCACTGGGCGTCTTATTTAGCTCCGAAACATCGGGTCGGTCTGATGCAGCTGCCTCTCCTGCTGATGGCTCTTACTTTGAGTCTATTGACAGCGACCCCGGCAGCCCACTGGATCCGGATCCACCACATGGTGAATCAGGCCCTGTCTTGCAGGACACCGCACCAGGCACGAAGCTGACGGTCATGATGGGTGGACATTGGTGGAGTGAATGGGCACCAAGCGACCTTCCTACTGAACAACAAGCAATCGAAATGGCGCAGACTCTATTGAGAAGACACCTCAACATCAAGGAATCTCCGGCCGTGGCCAAAGCGCGGCTCAATCGCAACTGTATACCACAGTATCCTGTTGGCTATGCTCAGGACATGGCCACCATTCATGAAGCAATAACGTCCACCTTCCACGGACGGCTAAAACTCGCAGGTCCCTGGTGGCGAGGCGCTCCGGGAATGAGTGACTGCGTCCTTTCTGCTCGCGAATCAGCTTGGGCGATTCGCGATAAAGAGGACGAATACACAGGGGTGCAGGAGTACACGCACGAGGCATGGGCCAGGACTCATGTCCCCACCAAAACAACCTCTACTGAGCGCATGTGGTGAGAGTCAAATCCTCCGCATGTGTGCAGTTTCAAATGTTTTACGGCGAATCGTCCTTGCTCTAGACGATAAAACTTGGGATTGTCAAGAGGAGCCAACCATGCGAAGCTTTAGAGGCAAGAACTGCAATGGCGACGAAGTGTTTTATCACCGCCGATCGACCCTATAAAATAGCGAGGTCTTGTGGAGGATTTTATAGTGCGTGAGCCCACATATGTGGTCGACCGCCTGTACAACATTTCAGCCTTTTCCTTGCCCGGAGAATCCGAGTGAAGAACGAGGAGGAGGCTCTTGAAAAAGTTTTGACTGAGCATATATGTACATATCAGATGTAGAACCGACACCTATCTACAAAGAGGTATTTCAACATTCATTCACCCAGCCCTGGGGAGCTGCGTCGGTACTGGTATATGTAATGCATCGTGTCGTCAAAAGCTGTGGGTCTTTAGTAGGTACTACCTAGTGAATGCTGGATACAGTACAGTACGATACATGGAATGGAATATCCTCAAGTATGTATGCAGGCTTGGTAGGCAATGGTCAGAGAACATTGCGTGAACGAGTACGAACGAGAACAAGTACAAGGAAAAGTACTGTAGGTACTCGGTACAGGGACAGATGTACGAGGTACTAGGGGAGCGGCTAACCGGATCTGTACTGTATACTTACTTGTACTTGGATTCTTGCATCACACACACAGAAAAATACAAGTAGGTATAGAGGTGGGTCTGGACCTATACCGGCGGCCTTTACCAAGTACACGCTTCCCAGGTGGAAGTATAGACCCGGAGCTTCACCGGGTACTTGTAGATAGATAGATGCAGAATCAGAGGTGAAGAGTGCTGGTAGAATTAATGCAACGCTAATATATAAGGTGGAAGACCATTCATCCTCAAAGAGTATGCCGCCCCGTGCCGCCAGAGTATCTCGTGACAGATACCACCCCATAAGAATGCCGCAAGCTATCATGACAAGGCCACCCATCCCCCACCCCCAACAAGATGCGATGCTCTGAGCGAGACTCCCCATTCCCTAATTATTAGCCATCTTGAGCAGATATCTCAAGCAGATCCGCTTGCCCCGTCCTGATGTCGCGTCATGGCGCCGCCTCCTGATCTCAGAAAAGCAAAATCCATCCGCGCAAAACGCCAGATGCACATCCCTTTTCCTTTTCTTTTCGGTTTGTTTATAGTGGTTCGTTACACATTAAAGCAGTCTATTTTCCCCCGAGTCGCTGGGGTCTGCACGCTGTATCGTCGCGCTGGCGGATGCCCTCAATAGTCATGATAGGGCTCAAAAACTCCGTGGCTTGAGGCATAGTCGCTCGTGACCGTTGCTGCCTTTGCAGACGTGGGGCCGAGAGAATGCTGTGCCCATCCTGTGCCAGTGGCTTGTGCTCGACGTTCTGTAGTGTATAACGTCAGGTCTTGTTCTAAAGCCAAGAACATGGTACATGAAAGGGGGCGAAACTTACCTCTCTCGAAATCTCCCCATCTTTTCATCAGGATCTTTGAACTATCGAATTCACCTTCAGCTTCCCCGTGTCCGCCAGATTTCTTGGTCTCTCCATCTGTCTTCCTGGTATCTCCCCAGCTGAAGTCGTCAAACTTCCAATATGCATAGGCCGGCAGAACAAAATTCCAGATCGGGAGAGAGAGCAGGTAAATACCCATCCATGCGACATATGACCAGCTGTGCGCCGTCATAACAATCAGCACGGCGGGAAGACCTAGAATGAGCCCCAAAAGAATAAGAGGAATGACCGGAACTGGTTTAGCCACGATGGAAATGATGATCAAATAGAACGTAAATGCGATGGCCGCCGGTAATACAAGGGTACCGATCAACTCGATAAAGACAACAAATTGCATGCTGAAGCAAAATGTACCGCAGAGGTCGCGTACAAGGACAAGTTCCATCAGGTTGTGGACAGTAGAGTTGATCCAACGACGCCGTTGAGATAGAAGGACTTTGAACTGGTCCGGCACAGTCGTCTTGCACACTGCCTGAGGGACAAAGACTTGTTTCCGCTTGGGGAAGGTCTTGAGCATGAGTGTCGAAAGGTATCTGTCTTCGCCCAGCAGCAGAAGATTCTTTTTGTGCAGTGTATCGACGACGTTTTCCGAATAGTGCTCCACGATGTCGGGGTTAGCCAGGATTGGGACCCAATAGTTCTGCCCGCCCTTGGGTGATTTGATCCGGTACATGCAGAAACACCCAGGCAAGCAAGTGACACCGCCAAAGACAGATTCAAAGGATTTGGACAGATGATGCGAGATGAAGTATTCGAAGACCTGGATCCGTGAGACCCACGATTGTGTTTTGTTCGCGATCTTCGTTTCACCGCAGAGTCCCATGATTTCGGGATCCTTGACCATGGCGGAGACCATGTGTGTCAGACTGTCAGGATATACCTTGGTGTCGGCGTCGACCATGAGAACCATTTCGTAAAAGTCGGGTGACATGCCCGTCACTTTCCAGAGACCATTGAACATTTCATACTCGAGTTCAGTCATGCGTTCATCAAACATGACCTTTTGAAGGAAGGACATCAAAATGATCTGACTGTCACGCTTGCCTCGGTTACCAGGTTTAGATTTGCCGGCTTCTTCAGGGGTTCCGCATTTGACAACCACTAACATGGGCACTCGTTGCTGCTTGGTCGGATCGATCTTCGAGTTCGGACCATAATCGTAGAACCCAGCGTAAACCTTGGCCATGTTGTGCCGTTTTGAGCCGCTGGATACAGCGACATATGAAAAGGCCTGCACGTCTTCAGGAAGAACGACAAAATCACCCATCATGCTGAGGACAATCTCCGGGGTTGACAAGTCGTTCCCTTTGCCCTTGATCAAACCATCACAGATCACCAAAATTGCTTTATGACTGTTAGGGTAGTCGGTCGTCGCAACAGAGTCCAGCGTGGTTCGCACACCATCTGCGTCTTCCGAGTACGCAGTGACCAAGCATATAACGTGAGCGAGAGGGAAGCCGAAGGGCTGCCACTCAGGAGGTGGTTGAGGAACCACGTTCTCGTGAATGAAACCAACAGGCCCAGCAGGTTCGAGGGAGTCCATCACAGCTGAGTACCGGGCTTCCTGACCTGACAGGAGAAGGCTGGATCTGCTAGCACCAACGCTCATCCGAGAATTGACGTCCAAAGTGTTCTGACTACTGTTGAATCCGCTTTTGTAAAGGCCATTTCCTGGCTGAATCAGTCGGGCATTGGAAGACTGACTGGTCATCGTAGTTGGAGGTGGGCGATTTGTTTTGGACAGACGCTCAACAGCATAAGGGCTGGTGAAACGAGATGTTTGAGGGAACAACTGACTTCCACGTTTACTGGCCCGCGCATCGGAGCCGGAGATTGTACTTGCAGGATCAGTGATTTTGGGAGCCGGTCTGTAGATGTCGTCGGCCCAGTCCTCGATCTGCTTGGCCCTCTTTTTCGGATCGGATGTTTGCGAAGTCTTGGTGGCTGCAAACTTCCCAGCCAAAAACCATTGAAAGGCCAGGGCGAGGAAGAACTTGACCAACACGACGGCGAGGATAAACACCAACGAGACGTAAAGGACAACCTTTGATGCAATACACCCAACCGTCTCGGTATCAACCGAACCCACTTTTGCAATCTGGGCCAGACACTTGCCAACCTTTTTATCCGCAGCAGACTGCAACACATGGGTGATATCAGTTCCGCGAATTTCGGCACTTTCTCGCATGTCGTCAAACTGTTTTGGCCAGACCACTTGACTCTCGTTGAACCATCTCAACAAGTCCAGATCAATCACGGAACCCGAATACACCACCAAATTTCGACTGGTGTTCTTGAGATCGTCCCAAGTGAAGAAGACTTCTCCCGCTTTTCTCAGGTTATAGAACGTATTTCTAGACTTGGCGGTAGTGTGGCAAGCATAGCCCAGATAGTAGGGGTTGGTGAGATTCGGCGGCGACGAGCCGTCCTGGTTGAAGGCGTTGCAAGGAAAATACCAAGCAAGATCTCCATCAGCATCCGTAGGCACATCGGAACCGGGTGCGAGAGTGATGAGACCTTTGCACTCTCCATTGACTTTTTGAAACATGAAACTTCCGTCTTGACCACCATACTTGTGCGGGAGGTCGTAGAGAACATTGCTGTCGAGAGGAACTCCCCGTGCTGCGGGGTGCATGGAACCATCAAGATTGTAGGCATCTCCGTGGAATATCATGTAACCACGATCAACATGGTTGATCTTCAATCTCAGTCCCGGGGCCGGGCAGACTGCCCGGGTGAAGCCGAAAGTTAGGAAACCAACAAAGCCGGCAATGAGCAAGATGATGCTGATCAAACCGACTTTCTCTCTCCAGGCTCGTTTCTGGGCCCTTCCTGGCATTCCGCAACAATGTAATATGAAGTTAGGAGCCCAGAAAGTGACCACAGCACAGTACACATTCCAAGCACTTGGAGGTTTGAGCTTTTCTATTTCTTTCAGCCGCCTCTTCTCTTCGGCCGTCATGTCGCGAGTATCTTTTCTAACCAGTTTTCGAGGTTTTCTCTTTTTGCCGACAGGCTCAAGTTTCCCAGGTAGACGAGAAGTGGGTTGAGTCCCGAAGGGTTCGTCGGTTGGTATGTTGAGATTGGTGCTCTCAGAGCTCACCGTCCTCTGTTCCACCAACTCTTCCACCACAGGATCGTTCCCAGTGGTGGAGGGGAAGACCTCCATATTCTGCGCATGCTTGCGATAGTGGTAGTTGGGATGATCTCGGTCTATTCGACTGCGCTCGGGACGGATCAGGGATTTCTTGCGACCGAGATCACTCTGATTCATAGGGTTTGACATGATGGGCTCCCAGTCTGCGGTTCTGGAGCTGGGTGAGGGAGGGTAGGGGTCGGCTCCAATGCGCTGAGCCGAGTATGGAGAGTTGCGTTGGACATTTGCTCCAGTCTCAAGATCGCGTAATCGTCGAGAAGGCGAGTCTCTGTAAGGAGAATGGGACTTTTCGCGAGTGGGCGAGGTAGCAGG